TAATAATGATTGTCACTTAGTTATTAACATTTCCAGTTATTCTCTAAAGAAATTAGAATTGGAGTTGAAGAGATACTAAATGAAGTAATATAGAAAATCTAGGACATGATTGACATTTAGGAAAAAGATGTTTGTCTCATAACATTGAAGCTCCCAGCTTTAGTGAACCCAAAACACATCTATGTATCTCGAGAAGGGCTATAACCACGAAGAAGCAGAAACCTCACAGGAGAGAAATAAGGCAGAGAGATTATCTCCCCAGGGTCCTGCTGGGGAGAAATTCCAACCCAGGGCCTTGTTTTGTTTATGTTTTTCTTTGGCAATGGGACTATCTTGGAAGCAAATTATGTAAATTTAGATAACTGAGTTATGGCATACTATAAAAAGAAGTGGCATAAATAAGGGATGAAAGGTGGAAGAATAAAAACAAATGCAGGATTAAGGATTCAATATTAATCTTCTCAGAATTTGGAAAGGCAGAGGCATCTGACAGTCCTGTTTTAGACAAGTAATCTCTGGAAATTCTGAGCCACTACTAGACACTTACAGATACTGGACTACGCCAGAGTTCAAGCCCATCTCTTCTGTGAACCTTCCTTATTTACATCAAATGCCTGCGGGGATCCTGGCTACTCTTTCTCAAAGGACTCCTGCTTCCAAAAACTCCTAGGGATCTAAGTTCAAGGGATGATGAAAATAGTTTCAATACATGGATTCATGATATCTCAGATAGGTATAGTAGCTTAATCAGCCCTGGTAAAACCTTGGCTGTCTTTAACATTCTATTTTTAAGAACACCATTACAAACATGAGTTCAAAGAGTAACAATGTCTTCAACTGATCATAATAAAAATCATCATAGTAAAAATAAATATCTAGATGGATATAAAATTTCATTTATTGTACTCCATTTTGCCTTTCCTGTGGTTTTTCTTCATCATAATCTTCCTCCCTGTTACAGTTTAGATATGAGGTGTTCCCCAAATGCCATGGGTGAGACAATGCAAGAATTTTTCAGAGGTGATTTTGGGTTTTGAAGCCTTAACCTAATCAGTGGACTAATCTGCTGATATGGATTAATTGGGTAGTAACTGTAGGCAGGTGGGATATGGCTGGAGTCTGTAGATCCCTGGGGATGTACCTGTGGAGTTTATATCTGTCCTTTGTGAGCAGAGATCCCTCTATTTCTTGGTTGTCACTTCCTGAGCTGTTTCTTTCACCACATCCTTCCACCATGATATTTGCCTCATCTTGGGCCCAGAATCAATGGGAATTGGCCAATCATGAACTGAACCTCTGAAACCATGAGCCCCAAGAAAGTTTTCCTCCTCTGCATTGTTCTTGTCAGGCCTTTTGATCACAGTAACAAAACACTGACAAAACACTCCCAAACTTCTTTTTTTCTTACATGGCTCTGCATGGTTTTCACTCATTTGTGAACCTGTTTCTGAAGGGGGGGATCATTACTTGCCTATCTTTATATTCACTTCACTTCTACAGATATGGCTCTTGACATGCTGAAAGCATGCAGCAATGTTTTATGAATTAAAGTTTGACACTTACATTTGCATTACAAATAACTGGTTGTTCCCAAGTCTACTCTGATCCTTAAATTTGACAGTTGACTTTAATATAATGAAGCCCTTTTAGTCATGCTTCGGATTAGTTTACCACTTAATAAATCCCTTCCAACACTACGTTCTGTGAGTCAACAAGCAGTTTCCCCTATGATTCAAGCCTGGCTAACAACAAATTAGACTGTGGAAGGATGACTACTAGGCAGAGGTGTTATCCAGGTTATACATTTTGAGGAAATATAAATGACGTAAAAAGAAACCTCTGAATAAAGATACTACAAAAATTTGACCTAAAGGAATGTTAGAAATAACCCAATATAACCGGTTTCTTTTACAAATGAGGAAACTGAAGCAGAGAATAAGTGGGTAGTTTAGATCACCCAGTTAGTTGGAGCCTGAATGAGGATGTTCACTTTATTGTCTATCTCTGTCCACTTCCCTGTCTGTTCACTTCATGTGATCATTCCCTAAGTATAAATTACACATATAGATACCTAGATGATTTGGGGGGAGAAGAAAAGTATAAATGCCTTGATTATACACTAGAACTGAGACACATTTCCCTTTCTCTGTTCAAGTTTCCAACAGTGCCTGACACATAGTAAGGACTCATTTAGTTTGGGTTTCTGCATCTTCTTTTCCTCAAATCTGCATATTAACCACATTAATGAATCAAAGCCTGGATATCAATAGAGACACTAAGGATGCTTGCAGAACCAATGGTACGGACCCCAAGGTGCCTCTTGTATGGATGAGGGATGAGGCCCCTGAGTGTATTCTTAGAAGAAGTGGGGATGCCACCATGGGGAGGTACTAATAGGGATGCTCTCACCTCTGTGTGAGTGACCCCTAAATTTCCAAATGCCAAATCCCTTCTTCCTTAGCCATATGTGACTGCCAGAGGAGGCTCCTATTTGTCCATAGACTTTTTGGGGGGCACAATCTTTAAGATGGTAATTTTTATCTTTGGATAAAATTTTCTGCACATAGAAGTTTCTTTTATAAATCATATCCCTCAGCAATGTGAGGTGAGCCACCTCTAATACCTGTTAACTTCTATAACTGGTTGTTCCCAAGTCTGTTCTGATCCTTAAATTTGACAGTTGTCTTTAATATAATGAAGCCCTTTTAGTCATGCTTGGGATTAGTTTACCACTTAATAAATCCCTTCCAACACTACGTTCTGTGAGTCAACAAGCAGTTTCCCCTGTGATTCAAGACTGGCTAACAACAAATTAGACTGTGGAAGAATGACTACTAGGCAGAGGTGTTATCCAGGTTGTACATTTTGAGGAAACTTGGTCATTTTACTTTTGCATTTAAGATGTCCCTTTGCTGAAAATAGCACTCTCAATGTTTGGAATGCCCTCCTGTTTATTACTGACAGTTGATTTCCAGATGATATTTTAGTCTGGAATAACACTGAAAACATTTTCCAAAGATAGTTAAAAATGTCATGTTTGAAATTTATTTAAATAATTTGCAATATATGCTGGGTAGTAAATTTTCAGCAAACATTTTAACTAGGTTTATGTCAAGCACCAACAGTAGCTTTATGCTGAACACTGGGCTTGGCATTAAAAGGTGTACTGATATAATTGTTTTCCTTAAGCTCAGGTCTGCTCCTAACACATTTTGGATTTTTCCACCCTTGTCCTAAGTAACTTGATTCAAAAGAGTTTCTCCAAGCTAATTTGCTGAAATGGAGTCAACACTAATTTTGTCACATGTCATTCAACTGAGTGAGTGCACTCTGAAATCAGACAGCTTAGTGCCAGGTAAAAATTCTTATAAATGAGATACCAATTTTAGAGTAGCAACTAGTTAACTTTGGGCTTCTACTTGAGACACAAAGCGACTTCATTTTATTAGAAAAAAACGTCAATCAAGATGTAACTACTGACACCCGTCTTTGTTTCACCAGCCAGAAATAAAAGATAAAGCAGAGGAAATGGAGGAGCTGCAGTTAGGCATTTGCAACACACAAAGTCCTTGTTTTCCCACTAGGCGCTGCAGAAAAGCAATTGTCCATTCACAGCACATCCTCTGCATTTCAGAGCTAATATTTTTGCAGTCTTTAACTTGGTACGTTACAGTTTTATGCTGTTAATTTTGTTAACCCCTCAGAATGCACTGTATGTTTGATGTCTTGCTTAACAGTACTGCTAACATGACCCAGTTTTACAAATTTCTAGTTCTCAATGTTGAGAATAGAAACTTTAAGAAAACATGTAAGAAAATTTGGAACAAGGTAATGGTTTCAAATAATCCTGTCTAGCTATTGCCTAACTTTGAGAGGGGCAATAAGGAAATCCATGTTAACACTATATTACCTAAATTACTTTTACAAAAATTGACTGTGTGCATAAGATTGATTTTTAGCAGGGGTCCCCGCCAACACATAATAATGTACCATTGAAAACAGCTTTAGCCCTTGTTTAGTTGCCTTTCCTGCAGCATTTAATGTGCTTACTGTATATGAATGCACATCCATGCATATACGTGTATATACTTCTCTGCCTCCTGGTGCAAAGAGCTTTACTCTATCATTGCAGTGGTCGCTTTGGCCAGAGCACATGAAGAACAGAATTTTTAGTTGATTAATTAGTCCCTAGGTTCAGTCACTTAAGTTCCTAATTAAATATCTGACTTTGCTTTCAGCAGTTGTAGGAAAAGATAATTAGCACAATTTGCAGTGATGATAAAGTTTTATTTTCCTTTATAAATAATAAGATGTAAATCACTAGTCATATAACTCAGTGCCTACTACAGTCTCCCACTGACTTCTAAATTCAGAATATTCTTTATAAAATGCAACAAGGTGATAAAGTAAATTTTTCCTCATGAATTCATTTTTCAGACATCTTCTATCGATTTTTCTACCTTCAATTTTGCTACCAGCTGCTTCTTTTTTCCTGTTAATTTCTTCATCTTGAAATGTGCTATCAACCAGCGTGACAAACTCAAGAAAAAAACTGATTTTCTCTCCTGTTTCTGTAACAGCTCACCGAACCCTTTCCCAACATTTTCCTACCATGTTCCACTGAAAATTGAAAAGAAAAACAAAATCTAACTCTAAGATTTATGTTGGAGAAGAAATATTTCATTCACTAAAAAAGAAAAAATAAATAATAAATCCCTCCCCAGTGGGGGCTCAAAGTGCAATGGAAATGCCAGAGTCTCTTACACTGATTGGAAAGAAATCCTGTTGCCCTCAAACTGTTAATTCAGGGTAGGTGATAATGTTTAGTCAGTTTGCCTAGAAAAAGGAAATTCAAAAGCTGGTTGCTGTAGGAACAATCACAGACAAAATATATATACATATATATGTACAGGTTCCTTTTAAATAAAAATCCTGCCATCTCTCTGTGCCTCTATTCTCTCAAGAAAAATGAGATTGCCGCTTAAATTTGTTGTACATACCTCAACCATTAAACAAGACATTTAACCATAGTGGCAGTTCTGTGACCTTTGAATGCCGTGAAATCTCTGAGCGGTGCCGCTTGTTCATGAAGACTTGTGCTGCAGAATCCAGCAACTTCATCCAGGATTAGGAATATAATTAAGTGAAAGAAAAAAGAAAAAAAAAAAAAAACACACACACACACAAAGCAAACAGAGACCGAGAGAAGGAAGGTAGGTAGAAAGAGAGACTCTGGGTGAGGACACCACTTTTCTCCCAGTCAAGTGCTGCAGTGCCCAGACCGACCGACTGGCCGGGTGAACAGGCAGCCGGCCTGTGAGGCTGGGAGGTGCTGTCAGTTGCCACAGGCAAGGAAAAGCAGAGACCAATCGGCTTCGAGGCTGGCAGCTTACTGGAGTGGAGCCTTTTCTGTTTATGTTTCCTCATTTCAAGAGTGACGTCAAAGGGTTTAGTTTTTCCTCTGCATGTGCTATTAATTTTAAAGTACTGTACTATGGGAAGAATGTTTGTGTGTGCCTGTGATTAGCCGGGGTGCCCCACTCTCAGGAGAACCCAAGAAACATTTTCTATAATCAGGAAGAAATTTTAAAACTTTAAAAATACCTTGTGGTTAGGTGTATAAAAAAAAATGAAACAAAGAACCCTGAGCTAAATAAAATAGCAAGCTTTACATTCTTTCCATGTGTGAGCGTGCATGTATATGCCCACTTCCCAGCTGTTGCTTACTTTTGAACTAATTCATTTCTACCCTAACCTAAAAATGAGCTGCTAATTAATCCTGATAGCCGTGGATGTAGAATTGTGCCAATGAGCTCGTGGACCATATTATGCGCAGAGAAAAGTTGGACTTGTTTAGCAATTGCTGCTGCTGGTCCCTGCTTCTCCCTCCTTCCTGCATCTTCTGGGGGGAAGCCTCAAGATTATTCATGTTAGGAATCTCCCTCCTGCAATCCCCTTAGGAATCATTCAAGAAGCAGGGCATGGTGAGGCAACACAGGCCTGCCTGGGGTATCCGCACGTCAGCTCCCAAAGTGTGTGAAGGTGCAGTTATTTAGGGATACTTCCTCTACCAGGGGCCCCAGCTTATCCCTGTGTTTTTCTTCCCACTCTGGAAAATCTCTGTGGTAGCCATCTGTTGCTACTACCACCCCCAGATCCTCCCCTGTCCCCACCCCCTACACCCTGAATCCTACTAACACAAGCACTTTTTCTTCTGGAAACTTCCCCCTCTATCTGTGGATGGCACAGCCTTTCCCACTAGCCTCACTCCAAGAGCAGAACTGTGAGGGGCCTGTGACCCATGCTGGCCAATCAGATGCCTCATGGCTCTAGACACAGAAAATGGTTTAAGGGTAGGCAGGACATTCAGGAAGTCCAGGGTTCTTTTTCAGACACTCACATTGACTCTTTGAGAGAGAGGTATTTGTAACTCAGATCCTAGGTGTTAGGGTTAAGCAACCCTGTGTTTTTTCGGGGTTCCTCTCTGATGTTGAAGATACAGTAGTAAACATAGCATTTTCTCCCAGGGAGTTTGCGTTTTGAGAAGTGGGAAGACAGGCAATAAAAGTAGGTAAATATGTAATGTCAGGTGGTAATAAGAGGTTTTCAAATAAAGTAAGGTTAGGGCCAGAAGATGTGTGTGTGTGCGCACACACACGTGTGTGCATGTGGTGTGTGTATGTGTGTGTGTGTGTGTGTGTGTGTGTCTGTGTGTGGTGTTTGCTGTTTTAGGTATGACGATTAGGAAGCACTCTAATGAAACAACTTTGGGAAGATGACAAATGAAGGTAAGACACGGGTTATATATTTCTGCACTCCAGGTAGAGGAAGCCCGTCAAGGATACAAGGCAGGCGAATGCTCAAGGAACAGGAATATTCCGGGGACAGGAGGGGAATTGGGTAACTAGAGGAGAATGAGTGTGTCTCAGAGAGGATCAGAAAGTGTCTTAGAGACCATGGAAAGGATTTGGGCTGTATTCTAGGATAGAAAACCTATGGGAGGGTTTTAAGCTGAGGAATGCTCATGATCTGATATATATTCTAGAGGAATTTCTCTCTCTTTACTGTGGAAAATAGATTTCTGGGGAGGAAGGGTAGTAGCAGTGAGACCACTATGAGACCATTGCAGTAGGTAGGGGAGAGGCCATGGGCTCCGGTCAGAGCAATGTGGAAGGTGAGATGACCAGATTCTGGAAGCCCGTGTGTGTATTTGCAGATAGAATTGGCAGGATTTGAAGACATGAATGTGAAAGAGAGGAATCAAAAATCATTCCCAGGTTCCTGCTTGCGCAAATTAGAAGAGAGTTGCCATTTATTGACACAGGGTAAACTGGGCAAGGAGCCTGGCTTTGATGTGAAACAGTGATTCTGGATCTTCATTCATCAGAAATAAATATTTATTGATTATCTGCTCTGTACTAGGCACTCTTCTAGTTTCTGGAGATAAAGCAATGAACATACACACACACACACACACACACACACACACACACTGCCTTCATGAGACTTGGATTCTTCTGAATGGAGACAGACCATATCAATAAATATAAAATTTACACAGGATATTGGATGGCAGTAACACTGTGAAGGAAAAAAGTTAGATAGGAAAGGACAAATAGGGGTTGTGATCTTCCAATGAATACCCAGGGAGGATGTCCCTGGGAAGGTGATGTTTGAGCACAAATTTGAAGTTGATGAGAGAAGAGTGGGAGAAGATCATTAAAGGCAGGGAAACATTGAGTGTAAGTTCCCTGAGGAGTGAGTTGGCTGGTAAACAGGAAACAGTAATGGATCCAAAAGGGGCATATCATATAGAACTTTCTCATTATAAGGACTTTGGCCTTTCTTCTCAATGAAATGGGGCTTTAAGCAGTGGAGTGAGATGATCAGACTGAATTTTAACATGCTCTCTCTGGCAGTTGTGTGGAGATCAAGGTAGAAGAAGGGGAACTAGTAAAGGGACTATTGCAACAATAGCCAGAGGTCACTGTAGTACCAATCGGGATGCTTTTGCTAGAGGTGGCTAGAAACCATCAGCTTCTGGTATTATTTTGGAGTTAGAGATGATAATATTTATTAAATGGATTGGATGTTAAGTACCAGAGAGAATGATTAGTTAGAGCAAACAATGACTTCTCCAAAATTTGTTCCATCAAGTGGAAGAACAGCCCTGGCATTGCCTGAAAGACAGTGAGAGAAGCAGATTTCATGGGGAAGATAGAGAATTTGATGCCAAATATGTTAACATTGCCTATAAGACAGAGATGTTGTTTATGGGCATATAAAAGCCTGGAGTTCAGGGGCAGTTCTGGGATGTACTTATAAATTTGTAAGTCACTGTTAATGCATGGCATCTAAAGCTAAGACTGCATGAGACTAGCAAGGGAATGAATGCAGATGGGAAAGCGGCAGGCAGGCCACAATCAAGTCATCAGGAATATGAGGAAGAACCAGTAAGGGAGACTGAGCAGTCTCCAGGAGGTCCCAGAAAATCCAAGAGAGGGTGGTATCTTGGAAGGCAAGATAATTATTTCAGTAATCATCCTTGTCAAGAGAAAGCTAGATGATGAAGACTGAGAATTAGCCTTGAATTTAGAATCATTCCTACCTTTTTAAAAAAGCAGATTTAGTGCTGTAGAAAAGGTGAAAAATGGACAGAAAATGGAAGAATTGAGAATAGAGAGTATAGATCATTCTTTCAAGGTATTTCACTCCAAAGAGAGCAGAGAAATGGAGCAGTAATCTGAGGGGAGAGTCAAAAGACCATTCTTAACATGAGAGAAATATCAGAAATTTTTTATGTGATGAAAAAGATCCACTTGAGAGAAGTAATTGCTGATGAAAGAGAGAAAGTGCTGAAGCAAAAATGGGATGTGTGATAGGAAGAATAGTCCTCCAGAGACGTCCAAAACAATTCTGACCCCTGGGACCTGGTAACATGTTACATGGGTAAAGAGACTTTGCAGATATAATGGAAGTTACGGATCTTAAAGTGGGGAGATTTGTCCTGTATTATCTGGGTATGCCCAATCTAATATGAGCCCTTTAAAGGAGAGGATTTTTTTTCCTCAATGGAGGCAGAAGAGAGATGCAGTAGAAGAAATCAGAGAAATTCAAGAAGGGATCCAACACACCGGCTCTCAGTGATAGAGCCATGAATAAGGACCACAGAGAGGTCTTCAGTAGCTCAGGGTGGCTCTCCAACTGACAACCAGCAAGAAAATGTGCACCTGAATCTTATGACTGAAACTGGATTCCACCAACACCCAAATGGGGCTTGGAAGAGATTCTTCTTCAGAGCCTTCAGAAAGGAGAACAGCCCTGCTAATACCTTGCTTTCAGCCCTGTAGACCACAAGCAGAGTACCTAGCCAAATCCCCCAAGATAAATATAACATGGTAAATTTTGTGATGTTTCAGCGGTGACATAAAACTAGAATGGAGTTATTGGCTTTGGAAAGGAGCAGTTGTGGCTCATCCATAGAAAAAGAAGGCGAGGCAGAATAAAAAATGTAGGTGCTAGCAGGTGGCAATGGTGATGTGAGACTGAAAACATTCTCTGTGACTTCTAATTTCTCAGTGAAATAGGAATTTAGAATACTGGCTAAAAGGGAAGATAGGAGAGGTTGAAGGGGTTTGATGAGAGATGATATAAGATAGTCATTCAGGAGAAAGAGCTAGAATTATCAGATATGATGGCCAAGAGGACTAGGACCTATTTTCATTCAAGTATCATGAATTAAGGCGATATTCCATAGCATGCTACCTTTGCAATATTTATATGACATCACCTGGAAGTATCGCGTAGGTAGTTTATATACAATTCTAGAGCCATGGATAGATAAAACGGCAGTGAAAGCCATGAGAGATCATGAGACTCACTGGATAAAATCTGAAATTCTATAATGTTTATATGCTTCATAGTTAAGGCAGATCCAGCAAGGGGGACCACAAAGGAGTAGCTGTGGAGGTAGAACAACCAAGGGAACGGTCTCTCAGACATCAGGTTCCAAGAGTCAGTGTAGGGATTAAATTGAACCTCTTCCCTATCTAAATTTATTTGTTAAAGTCCTCACTTTCAGTGTGACTGTATTTGGAAATAGGGCTTTTAAGAAGCTAAAGTTAAATGAGGTCATAATGTTGGGGCCCTAATCTGATAAGGATTATGCCCTTATAAGAAATGAAAGAGACTCCAGAGATCACTGTCTCTGCTATGTGGGGACACAGACAGAATGCCACTCTGTCTGTAAGCCAGGGAAACAGTCCTCACCACACACAAACCATGGAGGTACTTCGATCTCAGACTTCCAGTTTCCATAACTATG